GAATTGAATCTACATTTCTTATATATTTTTTAAAAATGTTAACACAAAAGCAAATACTCAAATAAAAAGAAACTTAGGGTAATTTCAACAGCCTATTGTACTACCTATATAATCATGTTCATATTATGTAAATTGTCACTATCATGTTTTTTTCTTATAACTGCCTAGGCTTATTTTCCTTTTTTTTTTTAAGTCTTTGAGATCTTGCTTCTTCAAATTTATTGTATGTTATTCCATTTGAACATCAAGTTTGCTCACATTAAACAATTAATGTTTGTTGACTATTTAACAAAGACATGGGAGAGGCTGATGAGTAAAATATGACTTGTTGATTACAAAGAATCTATTCTAAACCTTCAGTATGGTGAAAAGTATATATACTTCACTTAAATGCATATCGTACAAAGCCATCTGCATAAGATGTGAAGTTACTCTTCTAATACAAAATATTCCATCAATAGTTCCACAATGCTCTGTTTCTTGTTCCAAATATTAATAGGGCTTTTCATCAGTCTAATGAGATACTACCAAAAGGATGTAGACTTATGATGGAACATCTGGGCCAATGGAACATAGGACTACTGGTAAGAATTTTTTCTGAAATAGACAATTTTCATATATAATCAAATCGAATGAACAAATCTCTCTTAAGTGCCTCATTACAAATAAGTTCATCCATTTGTTACACATAATTGTATTTTAATATTCAGAATACAAATTGAATTCATTAATCGTTGCTAAGTAGGGCCATTCTGACTATTGAAATACAATTAGTTGTAAAAGGTGATTAAATAATTTGTAACAAGGCACTTAACAGATGTTTCCGCATATTTGATTACATTAAGAAAATGACCTGTTAATGATAGGTCTAGAGCTTTGAAAGGACAGAATCGTAATAGGGTCTAAATTAGTACCAAGCAGTAGGTACTTGCAATGTAATTAAACTGCATATGTAGTTCGTGAATAAAGTTGCATGGTTGAGGGAAAGTAAAACCACTACAAAAAGTGCAAAGATGTGGGGGAAAAAGAGGTCTTTTTACATTATTGTATACTCTCAGTCTCACTGAGGACGTGAGTATGCATGATAATTAAGGTCGCAACCCATCAGAACAATCTTCAGGTCTTTATTCCTTGATGCTTTACCATTCCCCCCTTGTTTTTAAAAATCTTATTAGTATTAAAATATTCCCTAAACCCCCTAAACAATCTCTAATTTACATATAATTTATCTAAAAATGTACATCTCAGCTGTATTAAGATCAAAGCATGGATGAACGAAATAGGACGCTTCTATTTAATGGCTGCTAACACATGTATGATGAACCTCATGTCATGCTTGTTTAACCAAGCATACCACTAACAGAGTGTCACAGGGTGTATAATAACACCTTTAAAGGGGGGGGGGGTAAAATAAATGAAAAAGTGGAAAGTCTGTTGTCTTATTCTACAATGTACAGTAAGCCACACACCAAAAGAATGTACTAAATGTGTGATTCCCTAAAATCATGATGATCGATGATTGTTTTACCCGACTGCTAAGAAAGTATATGTATGCTTGTAAGTAAAGAAGACCAGGGGACCGACAGCTTTAAATCCTGTCCAAGGAACTTGGTAATGAGGATTAATGCCTTACAAAGGGCACAAGGGTATTGACTTAGTTTTGAACCCGAGACCTACCAGTTACAAGACCACTACTCTACCAGTAAGCCATCGCACTCCCTTTTCACAGCTGTAAAGTCAATGCAAGCCTAAAACACATCCCACTGTCATTTAAAACAGTTTTGTGGAATCTAGAGTATTGGACACTTTACTAAACTACAGTATTTTGTCTATAAAAGTGTATTAAAGGATGTTGACATTGGCTCTTAGGAGGTGAGATGTACTTTACAGTCCTTTGCTAGAGCATACAAGTGAATATAAGCAGAGTCTTATAAAGCCTTTTATGCATGAACTACCACACTGTATAAATGCAGGCTGTTTGCAAGAGCATGTACTATTTATATAAAAATAAACCTCTGTGAGTTCCAACTGAGTGTTTTCCAGTGTCTATGTATCTACAAACAATGTCAAGATAACAAGGTACATGCAGGCATGTTAAAAAAACCTATAAAAAACTGGGATACGAAACTCAAGTAAATATTATTTGTCCGTGCTCTTACCCTGTGCATATAGACAAGTCTTTTTATAGTGAAAACATTTGCTATAGATCGATTTATGAGATATGTAAATTGATATGGTGTTCTTGTCCTACTTGAGTACATTAGAACTAGAAATATCGCAATCTGTATTGCCGCGCAATGCGAATGTATCCCCAGGCAGTGGCAGCAATTTTGTGTCATCCTTATGTTCCAAGGAGGGACAAAGTTCCCCTCTCCCCTCCCTGAAACAAAAGGATGACGTAGAGAGGTCACCGTTAGAGGCTCGAACTATTGTCTAGACTAGAAGCAACATTACCTAAACAATATGTGTGTAGATTAGAGTATAATGCATCTCTGTAAAAATTGAAAGAAATCTGTCAAGAAATGTGGCAGTCAGAGCACACAAAAGACAACCACCATAATATGGACTTTTACACTATAAAAGACGGAACACTGGAGGCAGCATCACGAAAATCTAGAGGCTTGTAGATTATACTGAGATACACCATCATACTAAATTTGAAAGAAATCTGTCAAGGAATGTGGCAGTTAGAGCGCACACAAGAATATGACGCGCCTGACGCGGCGGCGTAATGCTGCTGAATCCAAAGTACCCCACCGGCATACTGCCAGGGGATACAATAAAAGAACATGTGTATGCCTCTGGAAATATCTGATAATTTTATCGAAGTGATATATCTGCAAGAGAATGTTTCATTTGTTGATAGCCAGAAGGGTATAAACTTTATGTTCAAGGATATGAGTTAATGCCCTTTTGGCTCTTCCAATATAAGAACTCTGGGCCCGTATTCAATAAACTTCTAAGACATTTTTCTTAAGTCTAAGAAAATGTCTAAGAATTTGTCTAGGTTAAGAAAGTTGCCTCAGCCGTATTCTAAACACGTAAAGCAGTTTGTCTTAGCTAAGATGACAGATAAGACAAATTCTTAGACCCGATGACGTCATGTTGGAAAGTTCTATAAATCTGGTCAATATTTTAACCTTCAAAGTCCATCAGTTATCTGTTTCGCATTATGTGTAATTTAAAGAGAGATAGAGGAATAGAAAATGAAGGGGGGGAGAGAGAGAGAGAGAGAGAGAGAGAAAGAGAAAGGGAGATTGATAGATAGAGAAAGGGAGATAGATAGAGAAAGAAAGGGAGATAGAGAGAGAGAGAGAGAAAGAGGAATAGAGCGGGAGAGAAAGAGAGATAGAGAGAGAAAGAGGAATAGAGAAAGAGAGAGAGAGAGAGAGAGAGAGAGAGAAAGGGAGATTGATAGAGAGAGAAAGGGAGATAGATAGAGAAAGAAAGGGAGATAGAGAGAGAGAGAGAAAAAGGAATAGAGAGGGAGAGAAAGAGAGATAGATAGAGAGAGAAAGAGGAATAGAGAAAGAGAGAGAGAGAGAGAGAGAGAGAGAGAGAAAGAGGAAGGGCAAGGGAGGAAGAAAAGTAGTTTACCAAACGCTTCATTTTCATGTATGGAAAGTGTGAAATCAAGCCACTTCAAACAAAGTGAAATCTTTAAACAGTGTAGTTGGACATATACACACAGGCAAAATATGAAATGCAATATTTTCACTAAATATGGTCACCATGTCTTTCATTTATTTTACCCCTTTATACTTTTCTGTTTCATTTCTTTCATATGTCATGAAGAGATACACTAATGTATACCATACAGGGTCTTGACATCATAAACATACTGTACCCACCCATCCATCAATACTTAGCTCCTGCCTACAAAGAAGTATTAGATTACAAAGCTCAATATATTATTGAACATCATCACAAAATTTGAACCCATTACTATAATTTGATGTTCAATATAGCTCAATTTATTATAAATCATCATAAATTTACACCAATTAATATAAATTGATGAGCTTACTGCATATGCATCATGCTTGATAAAAGAATACTGCACATTGTGCAAACAGGCTTTGGTGCCAATATGCATGGTCTGATAATACGTGTTATCCCACACATGGCTCGTCTTCCCTGAGTAAACCTCATTACATTCATGTTTGTCCAATTATCCGCTTGAAACGGCTGTTTATACCATTCTTATGAGTATAATGAAAGGGGATGAGTACTATTTCTGTGCATTATTCTGCTAATGTGATGTCATTCACAGCAAATGGCGGCCCCCATGATGATTCTTGGAATTGTTATCATGTTTTTTCGCTTATTTCTTGACTTTATATCCATATTGTAGACCAATTTTATCACAGAAATAATTCACATTCTAAGGTTGGTGTATTAGTGATATGTATTGCACTTGGTTAAGTCACGATGAGCTGGGCAATGAACTCGAAAAGTCTTGTTCATTATCCCATTGTAACTTAACCTTGTGCAGTGCATATTCATTAATGCACTCACAAACATAAATTATAATAATCCTAATAGTCCACTCCAAATTTTATTAAACCGAAACGGAAATTCTTTTTGCCCAATTGATCGTGAGCCCGGCAGCCACTGAGCAGCGCCAGATCGACGTTGCTCTATCCCTTATTGTTGAACGCCAAACAAGGTAGCAACAACTCCCATCTTTTAACGTCTTTTGGTATGACACGGCCGGGGTTCGAACCCACGACCTCCCGGTTGTGAGGCGGACGCTCTACTGACTGAGCCAACACTCCGGTGTACTGCTACAAGAAATACAGCACTGTCATATAAAAGGTGTTTTAAATATGATTTTGTGTTTGTTCTTCTTGTGTTATACGTATATAGTATCAAATGTGAGTACTGAAATATTATTTATCACACAATACTCTTTAAAATAATAAAGAATGATAGGTACAAAATCAGTGCATATCAAAACTTGACTCCGAAATTAGAATTTTGATAAAAGATATACTCACATTTTCTGTGGTCCCTGAGTTATTCTCGTATCTTGTATCGATATGTATGGAAAACTTCGGAACAAAGGAACACTGTCAAGAAATGAAACAGACAAATGAAAACATTTATAGTAATGATAAAAAAAATGGTTTGTATTGTTCTTACAGTGCTCAGATATATCCCTGTAGGATGGTCACATTTGCCTAGTACCAATAAGGTGTTCACAGAAGCCAAAACATTTACCCATACACTTCACTTGGGTGAAGAGAGACAATTGTAAATAAAATGCGTTGTCTAGGGACATCATGGTAGAAATATTGCCACTAACAATTTCAAGGATATAAGCATAGAGGTTTGAAATAAACAGAAGCAAAAATATAATGGCTTAGGGTGAGGGATAGTATGCAAGAAAGAAGTATTTGAAAAGAGAAACACAGAGAGAGAGAAAGAGACACAGAGAGAGACAGAGACAGAGACAGAGAGAGACAGAGACAGAGAGAGACAGAGAAAGAGAGAGAGAGAGAGAGAGAGAGAGAATGAAAGTGAGAGAGAGAAAGAGAAAGAGAAAAAGATAGAAGATGGATACAGATAGATAAAAAGTATAGTGTCATAGTGCATAATACTGGAAAGTCTCTAAGCACTTCACAAATATATTAAAAATTAATCAAGGACATATCTTTCTTTAATTGTATTCATTTTATTGTGCACTCTATCTGGGAATATATTATAGCACTATATGGAAAAGAGTATAAATGTCCATATGTTCCAACAATAATGATATACTGCAAACAGGAGGTAATTTTCTGTACATATTGTCAGAAAAGGGAGAAACATCTGATTCAATGTCAAGATTGAATTTCAGGTCACGTACAGCAACCCAGAAATCAATGTGATAAATATGGAAGCGAATCAATACTGTAAGAAGTCATTGAATAAAAACATACATCGTGTGTTATTTTGTTCATCAGATATATGCAAGTGCATGGACAAATAATTTTCTCATAGAAAGTACAAAATTGTAAGAGATATAAAAGCTCTCTAACACCATCCAATCATAATGTCACCAATTCATATCTAATGTCTATACAATTAACTCTGCATAACTCATAAAAGAAATTTTCACTAAGTCAATTATTTGTTTATACATGTATATACCAGACTATGCAAAACAATTTTTGTGGTCCCAACAGATTAGACTATTGAAGATTTAGCTGTATATGGAGATGATTTACATAATTATTTTTGTTATACTCTTTGATGGGATATATTTGTGGTATTTTCTATCATACTCTTGATATCATAAAGAAATCTTTAAGATACATATTTTTGCACAAGTAAGGTTAAAACATTAAAAGAAAAAAGAAAACATGTTGTCCCTATCACACAGAATCGTACAAATAATTATAGGAAGTTTAATCATGTCATTTAGATTATGTACTGAGTTCTTTAATTTAAAGATTGAAATCGTTTTTTGAAAGTTTTATTTTTATTTAACATTAGCCCTAAATGGTGAACTTGACACCATTTCAAACTATATTCTGACAAGCAAGCACAGAATCTATATCAATCTGCTTTCATCTCAAATTAAACTGCCATTAGTGTCAAATGAGGAGTACTCAATATTGATGGAAAAAATGAACCATAACCTCTCCATTCCAGTAAACAAGCTTCCTAGCAGGACAACTCTTAGCTCTAAAGGGATACCTGCTTAAAATCTGGGTCAGTTGATGGTCCATGTGAATTGCAAGGTTGACCTCCAAGTGTACGTCATTTTAAAAGAAATATGTAATATAATTCTTATCTCAAGCTGTATAGAACATTACTGGCATCTAAAAAAAAAAAAAAAAATCTTCCCTTAAAAAATGACTACCCGGTAAAGTATTAAAAATATTAAAAAATCATGAATTTTAAGTGCCTAATATATTGTCCATGATTAATGACAAATTTTTAGTTCATTTCAAAAACCTTCATATCAAGTCTATTGTCTAGTGCTGTAGACAGCTTTTCCAACAGTACACCAAGCAGATATTGTCAATTCTGTGATTGTCCATGAAGTAACACCTTTTACTTTTGTGCTAAAATGCAATAAAATTTCCTATTTATCTTCAATGAACAAATCTTATTATTTTACACCTTAGCTCTGCATAAATCACTTGATGTGTTTTTTTTTTTACACTGTTCTGACATGAAACAGACCTATTCATTTATCAACAAATAAGAAACAATATGGGTGTTTTTCTGGAGAAAAAAATAGAGCAACATGCACAGCTAACTAATTACAGAGGGTTGCTGATTTATGTTTCATAAATGACAACATCTGTCCTGTTCAATAATTTCTATTACCAAAAAAAAAAAAAACTTGATGCTAGGATGGAGTTAAATCCCTGAAGAGGAAAGGCAATCAGAACACAGGAGATCAGGTTGATCTTAGGTTTCAGATTAAGTTCTACTTGTGCATGCACAGGGTTCTCATAACACCATTTGATACTGTAACATGTACAGTTAACAACTAAAATATTCATACCCCTTGCAAATTATATATTGTTTGTGTTTTCATAACTCAAGAATGACAGGCGAACTGGTTGAATTAGAGCCCTTCGTTAATACTTTTAGATGTAAGCTTTAATATTTCTTTAATATGTCATACTTAAACAATTACAAAACCTGGTAATAATAATAATAATAATAACTATTTCTTATATGGCGCTTTTCAGAAGGGCCCTATCAAAGCGCTTTACAGATATATATATTATTACCCCCAATCATCAGATTCAGGCTTACCCGCACACAATGTATGCACATTCTCCACTCCCTGGTAAGCATTCCAGCCAGGCATCATTTTTACAAGCGCACACTTGCTAATCTAAGCACATTAGCTTTCGCATCCTACCGGGTACCCATTTAACACCTGGGTGGAGAGTGGCAAATGTAGATCAATGGTAAGGGCATGAACTACTTTGTTAACTGTATATTACCATTCAATTAGTAGTGGTCACACAACAATGATCTCTACAGGCACATAGCAGTGCAGTTGGAAGGTTTTGGGGGAGGGGGGGGGGGGCATAAAAACAATGGCAATGGGTGCATTGCAAATGACTTTTTTCTTAACTTTTAAGAGAAATTTGGGATGTGTAGTGTCCCCCTGATGTTTGAAAAGAGATTTTCACCAATATAATATTTTCAGTGAATGAAAATGCACCCCCTTTCCAAAAGGCTTTGTACAGGCCTGCATAAGGTGTATCACAATTTTTCCCTTTTTCCATGGCAAAAGATGATATTGATATTAATCCTGCTGCTTAAATTTTTAAGCTGTTTACAATTAATGTGGACAAGTATAAGAGATAACGAGTGTATCTTTCTGAAGTACAAAGGTGAAAGTCTAGCTTAATCAAACAAAACAATGCCTTAAGTGCTTTTTAAGATCAACCCTTTCAGGGCAGAGCCACAAGCTTTAATTTGAAACTTGTGAAGGAAGCATGTATTTCAGTTAAACACAATCAGGCCACTCATACTTCCCACATCGGCTGGCATTGGCACCATAGTGTGAAAAATACTTGTTTGTTCATGTGATGGTTTTATTCCTTTTGCTTTAGTTGATGTTAAACTTCACAAATCTTCCTATGTATTTTATTTGTTCCCCCTATACTAGTGCTCTTCTTTTTACTTTTCCATAGATCTTTTGGAGCTTTTTAGAACTAAGCCACTTGACATTCCTGTCTGTTTTCTTTGATTTTCACTACATTCCATCATTCTGTACTTTCTATCAGAGAATTAACATGTTCTGCCTCATTAAAAAAAAAACATTCTTCTTGTCTCAGTAAATTAGTATGATTTTCCTGTTTTTACGAGTCTATGTATTTCATGTTTCCCTTCATATTCTATACCTATTAAAGTGTTATGGTACTTCTTGTTTTTAGCGACTCTAAATGATTGATGTATCATTATTATTACATTGGTCGCTCCTGTCAGGCGATACTGAATTTGATATGAATTATACATGATAGAAATGACAGATCCATGGCACCTATCATCCATCCTTGCTTTTAAAATGTGATATATATCTAATTAAATTCCATCGTGAACTCAGTAAAGTAAAGTGGAAAACTTCTCCGTTTTGGTGAGATCGATCAACTAAGCCAGCATCGAGATGGATGATGGACATTATCAATCATCCTCCGCAGTGTTTGCAAGGCATCCGTTGCCATGGTAACATATTTCATAACACTCTCGGGCAAACTTTGCCCCACTGAATCTTCCATCATCGCTTAATGCACTTTGGATGTTAAAGGTGATGTGATGAATCCTTTTTGCCATTTTATAATAATCAGTTCTGCAATTGCAGAAGTACATGTACAAACCTTGGTTTGAAACGCGTCAAAACGTGTCATATGACGCACATTAACCTACATGTAGGTTTGTCGACAAACCTCCTTTGTGAATTCGGGCCGGTGTGTTTATATAGCAATATACCATATTTTCAACACAAAATCCACTATTAAAGGAACTAAAAATCAACTTTTAACTGCTTGATACTGGTTGAGAGGTTTTTCATTGTTTTATCATTGGTTGTCCAGTATTCAATTTTATTCATAAGCAAAGGACGTTATAACAAAATTCATACAAGGTCATGTGGAATTATTTTTGCTAAAACATCTGTGCTGATTTTATTGTGTCTGTGAAAAGATGCAAAACAGATGCACCACCTTCACAAATGATATTCAAAGTTTTCGAGCAAAAACTACCAGCAAGTACATGTAGCTAGGCATAAATATTACCTTAAACTGCAAAAAGGCATATTAGAAATTTAAAGTTTTAAATTTGAAGTAATATTTATATGGGTGAAGAGAGTTTGTGTGCTTTCCTTGGACAGACATTTTGTTGTTTCCGGAAGGTGTTTTAAAAATACATTTCAGATGAAAATTCAAAATTAATCTTTAAAGATGACGGCAGCATTTCACATACCATTTAGATTTTGATCATGTACGGGTACTACTGGATTAGTATTTTGGATGTAATTCTTTTAAAATTTGTACCTTTAAGTCTGTAAATATTGAAAATCTAAAAAGATCTTCCAAGAGTAATCAGAAAATAACCCGTCATCCAAGATGATTAATACAATACCTTTTCATCCTTATAAAGCTGCAAAGCCAAGTCTAATTCAGATCATAGGCTGAGGAAGACACAACACACACACAAAAAAAACCAATCTGACAGGCTTTCTGTTCATATATTTAAAACAGAGCCCTTTTATTTTCATGAAATGAAAGACATCCTTGCCATGGGTATATTGGAGGCCATTGAAAAGTTAATAATTTTTCATGTAGGATACTAAACCCACTGCCTAAAAACATCTGGAAATGTGTCTCCTGTGTTTTGGAAATGAAAACACTTACAGTTACACTGTCAATCTTCTACAAATGCTTAAAAAGAAATACCTTCTCAATTTACAAGAAGTCCAGAATATATGGACTACGGTGACAATCAATTTGTTCCTTGAAGTATACTTTTTATTTTTCTCTATACTTTAATCTTGTTTCCCCTCCCTCCTTTCCTACTTCCAATTGGCTTAACTCTAATTAGAATTCGGAACAGCTCTTATACGGTTGGATATTGAACTATTGGTCAGTGCTCTTTAATCTTATTCATTTTTTTTTTGACTAAGCGATTTGATATATAAAGCAACAGAGTAATTGGCATTTTGGAGTTTCATCTGCCAGAAGGGAGGCTAGCATGACGGTAACATGATAAGAATAAGATAAAAGCTATCTTAGAACACCTGCCATCCTGCAAATTGACTGATAATCTATGATACTGTCAATCACTGACTTTCTAATCAAGGAAGTAGTATCTCGTCATTTTTATTCAAAAAGTATGCTGGAAATTCTATAATATAACTAATTCAAAATACTTACAGGTACAGTGTAGTATTACAAAAAAACCAAAAACTATTCATACTGAAATATTAACATGTACTGCATTCAATATAGTCTACGACACAAGTTACAAGGGATCATTCTGTGGTCAAGTTCCTACACTAACCAAATTCCTAACTTCAACCCTACCGAACGCTCTACCTACATGTACATGTAATTGAGAGTGAATTTAAACTTGCAATATCTCTTTCTAGACGTAATAAAGTATGCAACTTATAGTATAGGGACATTAAGTTCCTAACATATGGAATAATGTTTTGTTGTTGATTGGAACACTTTAAGTTTAAACATAATACAAAGAACAGAATGTCTTTCTACTGAGAAACAACAAACCCCTAGACCTGCTTTTTATGCATTTTCCCATAGTACACATAAAGTGCCCTTGAGATAGATTCTGATTTTGTACATTATTTATAGATTCCTGAAAGATATATCATTTCCAAAACAAGATTTGCATCCCCTGTCAAGGCCCTTTCCAGTTGCCACATAATACAATTCAACATAAATCCTGAAGGTTCCAAAAATAAAATATGGTTTGTAATTCCGTAAATTAAATAGTTGTCATAATTCTGCAAATGTCATTTTTTTAAAATAGAATTACAAACCGTCAGAATAATGAGCCTTGTTTCATTTTCGGAATTAAGACCCACATTTCATTTTCAAAGTTATAATGAACCCCCTGGTATGTGAAACTTGGGTTTTGGAATTACAAACCTATGAAAAAATGAATGCCTCCCAATTCAACTATTCTTGGATCCCAAACAGGCTACCCATTTAACATTCTTCCAAATTTATTGAGAAGTGACAGCTACTAAACATCTTTATTTCAGCAGAACAATTAGTCCGCCAAGAGCCAGAAGGATGATAAGTCATCCATTAAATGGGCAAGTCCAAGGTGCGTTGTCCCATATACTACAGACTGCATCAAGTATTTTAGTATTTCTGACGATTGTAAGAGGTTGATCGCCATACTATAGCTTATATCTGAGGAAATATTTGCCGCCTCAACAGACAGCCTATACTATAATGGTTGTATTTTGTACCAACAGGTATTGAGTAGAATACCAGACAGCAGTCTGAGACTGATGATGAAAACAAACCCATCTTGAACAGATAATCTATAGACAGACACATCACGTTTGACAGCTACGAAGAGAGTGACATTTAGATTGATTCACCGGCCATGGCTCTAACACTCTCCCATTATACATCTTAACAGCTGAGGCATTAAAGACATTATGACATTAAAAAGCTTAAAGGGATCGTTTAACAATGTTAAATCTGAGATACACGGTCCTACATGTTACCAGTGTCTGTGATATGGTGTAATATTGAAGCCCTAAAAAAAATCGCGCTTCAAAATGATCAAGAAGTGCCTCAAAAAAGTAAAAATCTTTAAGTGACCGGTTTTACCATACTCGTTTTCCCCTAATAGACTGTAGTGTTATGAAAACCGTTCGGCGAGCGGTTGTCAAAATTTGTAATTCCAATCAAAGTGCCTCAAAAAAGTAAAAATCTTTAAGTGACCGGTTTTACTATACTCGTTTTCCCCCAATAGACTGTAGTGTTATGAAAACCGTTCGGCGAGCAGTTGTCAAAATTTGTAATTCCAATCATTAATATCTTGATAATCAGACAGCGATCAGCGTGTAAAAGTCATGGAGTTCCTGACTGAACTTAAGGTTTATAATTATCATTGCAGTATGAGCTAAATCAAGGATTATTTCTAAAGGATCTAAGACAAAGTTACCGGATCCCTTTAAGTAATCATAACTCCAGAGCAGTTTCATTTTTATTGATTATCATTCCCATTTTTGCATTGTTTATTCAAATATTTAATATGCACAGAAATGAAATTCACCCTGAGGAGTAAAAAATGAGTTACTGCACAAGGATCTTATTATTTGCTAGGAGCCATAAAGTAAATGTTTGCTCTAATTGGACAATATTTACTTTGAGAAATGTAATCACTTTCATTTAAAAATAATCATCACTATAAAAACAAGGAATATACTCACTGTGTATTCTGTTGAGTGTGTGAAGGTGACATCCCATAAAATGATCAGCAATATGAAAGAGAAAAAACAAAAACAAAGAAATAGATTAATCAAGAGAATGAAAGTAGAAGCAAAGAAGAATTTTCATCATGGGACAAAGCATCGATGAAGGTTATAAAAAAAGGCAAGAGAATGATGGGAAGAAGAATGGAAGATAATGAAGAATTGTAAAAATATAGGAGCAGGACAGATTGACAGAAGGAATAGCACAAAACAGAGAGGGAAACATAGAAATAGACAAGGTAAACAGGAATACATGTATATGGGAGACAAATGTGAAGGGAGACAAAATGTGAAGGGAAAGAAAAGAAACAAGAAATTAAAGAAAGTTTTGCTTAAATGTTTTTTTTTGGGATGAGAGTATACAATTTAAGCCCCATTCAGAAATAAGGTGGTTAAATGCTGTTTTTCTTTAATGATGACATTAAAAGGAATTGCGCTTCACATTTCTGTATCTTATAATACAGAGCTATCAAGCGAATATACAGTTAACAACTAAATAATTCATAACCTTACCAAGTTAGTAGATTTATTATGTATTTAAAAAAAAAAGAAGATTTTTCCTGATTAATGTTTCTTGAGAATGTAACATATTTAAGCTTTCGACTAAAGGTATCCAACAAAGGCACTAATTCAACCATGCAGTTCACTCTTCATTCCTAAGTTACAAAAAAACACATTAAATTTACAAGGGGTACGAATAATTTAGTCCTTTGTTGCATGCAGTTGTCACAACACCTAATGGCCCGGTCCCACTGGCCGACGGACACAAAACGTATGCATAAAGGACACAGCGGACGAGCAAAATTTCGGGGGTGGCTCCATCCGTTTTCATCCGCTCCAGAAATGGACAAAATTTGCGAAAATTTGCGAAAACAGAACGGAAAATAACGGACGTAGGTAGTATGTAGCGGGGATGTTAAACGGATGTTCATCGGAAGCCTAGCGGATGAAAGCGGATGGAAGTGGATGACAGCTTCGAATACTTTATATACGAGATGCATACGCTTACATCCTTTCTTTTTCCGTGCTACTAACGATGTATAGACGTTCCACGTACCTTATCTTTCCTCCCTCTTTCCGTTTTCAGCTGCAGCGGATGTGAGTTGCGAGGATGCCCAGAGGATGCAGAGAGGATATAGCGGACGTTTAACGGATGATAACGGACATAGAACGTGTGTTGCTCGTATTTCTCGCGGATTTACATCGTACACGGCGGAAGTTCATCCGTTCTAAAAGTTTTGTGCAGCTCAAAACTTTTTGCGCGGATGAAATCACAGTGGACGGATGCTCGACGGATAGAGCGTATGAAACACGTATGCAATGAGTACACAACGGATGCATAGCGTTTTCCAACGGATGGCAAGATTTTGTTTACGTTTTACATCCTCTTTGCATCCGTAAGTGCAGTGGGACCGGGCCTTAACACGGTTTATACTACATCATATCTGAACAAGCCTAAACTCATTCTTTACTCTCATCACTGAAGGAATGCACCCTCATAATTTTATACATGCATCAGGATAAATGCATTTTTTATTTGACCAATTAGCTTGACATCTGTCAAATGCCACAAAGGCCATACATCGCATTCACAAACATTTCAGCCTATCAAGTGTGACATACTGTGATAGCTTTTACGTAAAGTTCCCTAATCATTTTTCGTTTACTCAATCACAATTATCTTCAAAACATGTGTGCCAACTGTTCAAATGTGAAGTTTCATTTAGCTGGCAGCCACAAAGACATTCACTTTGAATTACAGTTAATGCTATTCTTGTTCTCAGCAGAAGATATCTTTCATTTCATTTCATTTCATTTCATTTATTTTCCACATTCCAGTTTAAAACAAACAAAATGCAAGTACAAAATAATGTACATTATAAAATACAAAGGCATACATAGTACATGAAGAGACAAAAAAGTATTAGTGAGAAAGGGGGAAAATGAGCAAAGATGGTGAGATTTGTAAGGTGCCAAAGCCACTTGAAAATCAAATGCCCAAGGTGCACTTGTGGACAAAATGAAATCACAGATTAAAACATCTGCATTATAAACAAAAGAACAGGAATAAGATAGAGTATAACAAATGAAAGAGAATGATTAATCATTTGCCAAATCAAACAGATAGGTTTTTACTTCATTTGATTTGCAATAACAAATCTCTTGAGGGAGAGTTTTCCACAGCGAAGGCCCTGCATGAGGAAACGATCTCTCTTCCTACTTGGTATTGAGCTTAGGAAGAACAAGAATCCAGAATTTTGAGAACGTAAAGATCTACCGGTAGATGAAATGTTATGATTTATCAAAGTATTAACACTATACTGTGGAGCAGAGCCATGGACACAATAAAATATTTTCTTTAAATATTTGATAAGTTTGTATTGATCCAATAACATTTTTACATTCAACAAAAACATAATACAAATATACAGACATTTATATCCATGTAACAACAATAAATCAAAGAGGAAATTTAATGGAGCTATAGTATTTAGAATAAAAAACATCAGCGATCGTCAAAATACCCCCTCCCCCCCCCCCCCCTCAAAGAAAAAAGGATTTCAGTCAACGTTCTATCATCTGCTAAACTACTTATATTGGATTATTATTATTTTTTAAATTAAGCGCCATTTTTCATTGTGCCTATCTATTATGAAATATTAAAGGGTAGAATAATGTGTTTATTACTGGGCAACAAATGGAGAAGAGATGTACATCTGTAATATTGAATCAATGCCCTTTTGGCTCTCACTAAGAGAGAATATCATGTAACCCTGATTTGTGCCAACTGATCATTTTAATCCTTCGAAGCCTTCAAGCAGTTGACACCCTGCCATGTACAGCTTGTGTCAGAGTCAATTCCATATGTAAACAAATCTCAAGAGTACCAATTCATCAAATATGAACCAGGGCAAGATATCGGTAGCAAGGCCTCATAAATCAAACTAATTGAGTTACTTAGAGATATGAGCATGTGTGTGCTGTTCCCTTTTTAGTTTACTCACTCAATAAAATCCAGAGGCATGTTTAATCAGTCAGAAACCATCCAAGATATATTTGGATAATTCTAGCGCAGTGAAAATATCGCTCTACATGTACTATTGTACTTCATATTTGCAGTTCACCAAGCTTTCTCCATACAGTCCTCCTAAACCAGTTTGTTATATATGAATTCAACTTTTCTCAGATATATTTGCATTCTTAGTTTTTGATAATATATTTCATATTATGCCGATAATTATATTTAAACACTCAACCTGTTGAAAATGCTATATGGTTTCTTAAAGGGGAAGTCCACCCTGAAATTAAGTTAGTTTTAATAGGAGTAGAAAAATGAGAGAAACAAGTCAGTGAAAGTTTGAGCAAATTCCGATTAAAAATAAGGAAGTTAGGATTTTTTAAGTTGTGATCAATCAAACACAAATTGGCAACTCTATGACGTATCATGGGAGCTCAACTTCCATTTGCTCAGTAATAAAAAAATCTAAAATTTTCATTTTCCCTCAAGAAAAATTTCAACCATACATGCACCCTAAATATAATAATTGCAAATTTGTTTCTATACTCCCCCTGCAAGGAACAAATATATATTCCGTCATCAATAATGAAGAAAACATGATTTTATGGAATATTATGCACAAAGCAAATGAAGGAGAGCTCGTATAATAAGTCACAGAGTTGCCAATTTGTATTTGATTGATCACAACTTCAATAATTCATAACTTTCTTATTTTCATTCAGAATTTGCTCAAACTTTCACTCACCTGATTTTCTTATTATTCTGCCTCTATCGAAACAAACTTATTTTGGGGGTGGACTTTTCCTTTAATGTATATCTTCCCAAGACCCTGGTCTGGGTTGTGTATCTTGGTTTGTTATACATGTATGTAATGAAATGTGTGATATTATCCAAATACATCACCTCTTGTATTGTATTATTCACAATGTACATGTATTACATTTACAATTAAAATTCATGCAATTGTGTACATGCATTCTTTAAATTTACCTTGTAGTTACTTTCCTTTGTATTAATAGTAAGGTCATATTTTGAAAGTCACATTCAAATTGTGTCAGAGTATAACTTAAACAAATTCTTGATAAGAGGAATGAATAATCTTGGCACTTCTCATCCATTCTTACTCATTTCTTTTCCTTCTCAGAACTTTTTGTCTGTTTAGAGCTAGAAGAGCATTAACTGCATATTTAAGTATAAGAGTTAATGCCTTTTGGCTCCAAACATACAATTGAGACTAGCTGCATTATACCATTCATGTATGAGTAAAGGTTAAAGTAAAATGCTTGTATTAAATTACAGACTCAGGAGGCATATAACTGCTGACTACAAACACCTGGTTTCAACAACACCATGAACAAACATGAACAATTTGGGAGTGACAGTAACTTGAGCTAAAAATGAGAAATTCAAGCAGACAAGCATACATAAAAATGGAAACACGATGCAAAGGAGCGTTGTTTAAAGAGTGCAGTACATCATGTAGCATACATATATGGCACACACTCAGTTTATACATTTCGTCCTTGTTTTCACGAAGTGATGGTAGTGAGGAAAATCGTCACGCAAAGTGAATGCAATTTTTTTTCACTACCGTCACTTCGTGAAAACAGCGACGATTTGTCGGACAAAAATTACAGATTTTACATTTCCAAACAATTTTAATGATTATTTGTTTCACTGACTATACTGTCCTGTATTATGTTTTATTTTTTCTTATGCAGATAATAATAATAATGATAATAACTTTCTTATTATTACCATTTGCCACTTACAACGTACCAGACTGGACCGCTTATAGTATTATAACCCAGGTCACTGGATTCTACTACGATTCTGAACACTACAGTACACATTCTCTACTTCCTTAGGAAGCATTCCAGACAGTCACTCTTTTACGGGCGTGCACATGCTAATGCATAAACAGAATTGAACTTGAACTAAAATCAT